AAAACTTATTATTAAATATCATTTATGGAATATCAAAGTATTAAAATCCTTTTATCATACATTATCACTATCAAAACTTATAGATGTTGAGAATATGAAAGATTAGGACTAAGTACAAATTACAATAATAAAGTAATTTGAATAAATTGGTTCATATGATTGTATTTTTAATTTATTGAACTGAACTTTATGAAAAAAAAATTACCTATTAAGATTTATGCTTATGAGACAAATAGAATATAAAGATAATCAAATATTTTTGAACTAGAGTGAAATATAAAGAGTAGAATGATGTTATTTATAGATTTTTTGTAAAATATTTTATATAATAGATTGTACCAGTTTTGATATTATGGGGTCTTTAATACAACATTATATGTAATTATATATATATATATATATATATATATATATATATATATATATTTATCTTGGGTTATTATCATACTGATTGATATAAGAAAAGTTTAAAATATTATTATTATATAATAAATATTATGAATTCGAGAATTTGAAAAAAATACAAAATAGGAAGAAAATAACGTTATTCGTAGTTTATAAATTATGTGGTGGTGGTTTTTTTAAAGTAAAAAATGATTCCTCCTGTTGAAATATGCCTTCTATTTTTGACTAAAGAACTGCAGCTATTATTATTATTATTCAGTGTTTATGTAAAATCCCCGTGAAAGATGGGGAATATGTCATGGTTTTTGGTCAATTCACATTCTGGCACACGTTTCTTACTTGTGTTGATTGTTATGAACTTGGTACACACTTGTGATTTCAGTTCCATGATACATGGTGAGAGATCTCAGAAACTGGAGCTGAAATACAAACTAATAAGACACTTTCCTGAATGATGATCAAACTCACAGTACAGTTTACTGACACATGGAGCTGGTCGTGTCAATTTCGATCACACATATCTGACGCAACAAGTAGTCAGGACTCAATTATGAAAGCAGACAAAAATCACAAGAACCTTTTTTATGATGTTTCAAAATTTTCTGATTAAATGTAATGTAAGAGAGATGCTAATTAATATTTTTGCGAGGATCATATAAATTAAAATGGACATCACCACACACCACATGATTACGGTTTTCATGATATTTGCATGGCATCATCTCGTATTATGCATCTCTCTGTCTGGCATTAAAATTTGAAACTTGAATGAAGAGAAAGATTTCGTGCAGTGAGGTAGTGTTTATGCACACAGAAAAAGAGAGGGAAAGGTTCTAAATAGGAAAGGCTATGGAGGAAGGTTCTTTTACCCTAAGAACAAGAGGCCCACGCATGTACGATGGTGGTACGATAATGTCAGTTGTCAAACTCAGATTGCACTACACGTCCTTGCTACTCGTATTCCCCACAAGTACTTAATAGCCTCAAATGGGGTCGATGTGATTTCTTCTGCCATCAACACGACTACCTAAAAATTCTTCATCATATAATTCACACTACTCATCTGCACTTGCTTATCTTATAGGCTACTTTACCTCTTCCTCACCAATCATATAACTCCCCCATCGCACATCTGCTTAATTAACTTGAAAGGATAAGGCACGTTTATTATGATATACATAGCTTCCTTTACTTTTTCGTTGACAAACTTCATAATAAATCAAAATTACTTGGGAGATTTTTACACATTTTACATTATACAATTTGGGAACATATCATACATATATCAGCTGTATAAAGAAATAATGTAATATGTTTATTAATTTTAATCAATAATTAATGTGCAAAATAAACATATCACATTGGTTTGTAAGAAATGTATTACATTGGTTTTTATATAATTAAAGTAATTGTGATTTTTTTAAAATAAGTTTATTAATTTATTTTATACCTTACTTTTAATTTTTTCATAATCATACTAAATATCTTTTTTTCCTTAGTTAAATATCCATTCTAACTAATTTAGGAAAACAATAAGATGATTTTTTTAAACAAAGAATTATAACAAAAAAAAATCTAATTTTAAGGAAGAATAGTAGGTAGAAAGATGAAAATATTGATAATAAATATGACAGAAGAGATAAATAAAATGTAATTATCCAATCCAAATCAATTAAAACCATTTTATTAAAATATGTTATGATATATTATCTTATTAATTCTTTTTTATTTATTATTTTATATTAGTTTTTATCTTTTAGTCTATTATTATCTTTGAAATCTTACAGAAAGAAACAATATTAAAGAATAAATCTTATTTTATCATTTATTCTTAAATATATTAATTTATCCTAAAAATTGATTTGAGTATTAAAATATTTTTATAGGTAAATTTTAAAAAAAAATACTTTAATCATCTTAAAATCACAACTTAAAATTTGATATATTGAGCACGTCCTCTTACGAACTTCTACCAATACGATAAAATCATTAAAAATATATATATAGAAATACACAATACTTACTTAATGTGAATGAAGTTTTAAGTGATGATCTCGCTGACGAAAAAGAGGATAAATGAAATGACCATATAACGAATGTGCTCACTTCTAATAAAAAAATTGACAGATAAAGAGTTGCATGAGGTTGATGAGCAAACAAAAAGAGTAGAACGATACTCTTAACTTTTACGAAAAAAAAAAGTGAAAGTGAAAACACAACGAATAATAGCATAAATAATAAAAAAAACTATATTATATTATTATTCGGTTCATTAATATAATATGTAAATTTAATATATATAAAAATTGAAACAGTGAGACAAGACTCTTCTTACATCTTTTTAATTAAGAATAATTAAATAAATGACTAAGAATAAGTAAAATAAATAATATGAAAATTTTTAAATATTTTTCTAGACTAAGAAAATACCTATTACACGAAATTAAAAAAAATAATGATATATATAAAATTTTAATTTAAAATTAATAGATATTAAATAATGTAATTAATAAATATAAGTTATATTTAAATAATTAAGTAAATCACGTGAAACTCTTTCGTGATATAATTCTGATATATAGATGATAAGAATGATTAAATTTGTTTGATTCTGAGAACAAAGTTTTTTTTTTTTTACAAAATCACTGTCCATGTTCAAACTTATGAACGACCCATAACACAAAGTTTGGTCTAATTGTGTTAAAAATGGTTGTCTACCAAGGCAAAATTTTCTCTAATACCGATGAAGTTGTAAATAACAAGGTGAATATTACCCAATATTTTAAACGCATTATTTAGAAAATTGAAAATGAATGTTTGATTGAAACTATTATTTATGTACTTTATTAAAAATTGTACAACTCAGAATCACTCCTCATATTGATTCAGATTTATTAAAAATCACAAATTTCAAGAATCTCACATTCTGGAAGCATATTCTTTATTGATTGAAATAAATTGTGATACTTTTATTATTTCACTGTTGAATGGCTTTAAAAATTCAGTAACCTTAATATTATTAACAGCACGATAAAGTTAATCAGTAGTGATATTCTGAAAATCAGAAACCATACAACTCTTCAAATAACTCACTTTTATTAATATAATAATCTATAGACTGATTTAATAAAAATAAAAATAAAGTAAAACTATTATTATAATATTAAAATAGAGTTGTTTATAGAAGTTGTATGAATTTGGGTTGTCAAAGTATCATTTTCAAAATCAATTAATTATACCATATATTAAATATTTGTTCTAATTCATTATATTACATAATATTATATAATGTTATTTTAAATTATTTATTAATTGTTTATATTATCAAATAATAATTAACTAACCAATAATTTTCTTGATTTAGTCTATGATCCACAAATAATAATTCACAATGTATTTTAATAAAGTCATAATGATAAATAAATAGTTCTTCAATCTTAACTGTTTTTCGGTTTAAACAATTTAAACAAGAACATTTATATCTTGCTCCATAGTCACTAGCTAATAGCAAAATACTGTGAATTATATTTTTAAATATTCATTAATCATATTCTTATATGATTCACTTGTAGTTCTCTTATTTTTATTGTAATTATTATTTATTAACAATATTATAATATTGTCAACAAACAATATTTATTACTTGAGTACCATTCTTCTTGTTTTTAAATTTTTTTAAAAAAATTAATAAAAAATTAATCATGTAAAAAATATAAGTAATATGGTATGTGTTTAAAACTTTTAATTACTAATCAATATTGTAAACAATAATTAATATTTAGTTTTAAAATGTATTGTGCTTTTAACATAATATTTAATAAAATTATTCATAACTTTTTTATTAGATTTTTTGAAACAATAATTTATATTATCAGAATAATAATAAATACATCATGAGAGATTATATAAGCTTCCATTGTAAAATAAAAAGTTAAAAATGTTTTGATAACAATTATGAACTATTTAATAGATACCAATTGGTAAGGCTGAGTTGAACTTAGTTAAGTTGGAGCATATTCAATAAGAACGTTATCTTAAACCTCAAATTCGATTTAATTAATGCTCTTGAACAACTTATACTTAGTGTAAGCTTGATTTGGTTTAAAATTATGATTATAAGATATGTTTTTATCTCCTTTTCCATAAAATAAAATAAAATAAAAAATGAAGTGTAGTTACACATTTTATTTACAAAAAATTAATAAAAAAATAATTTACATATTATATATACAATTTATTTGAACTCATTTATTTAAAGCTTAATTTGGAATTATTGAATTTCAATTTATTTGACTCGGAAAGTAAAAATACAATGAATTATGAAATAAAGTGTGTGTGATAATTTCTTTCCTTGCAATCTTATGAAAGCAGTTTGACAAGACCCTAGACAGGCCCAGTAATTAAAAATGGTCTTCTACATATTAAAGAAACGAAAGAAAAGAAAAAGAAAATCCACAACATACATACGTGTACGATTAGCTTCCAGAATTCATGGCAGACACACTTATTGCATATTTTACACCACATAAATATTTGGTTCACAAAACATTTCCACCTTAACACTAGTATAATAATGTCTTTTTATTTAGACGCACGAGAAACCCTTGTGTTCTCTGGTCTCGTTTTCTTGCTTCACCAGTTGTTGAGAAATTCCCATTGGTCTGTGGATGGAGAAATGCTGCATTGATTTGAACCTCCATCAATGTTTTAGCAAAAGAAAATTACTGAATAATTACACAAGAAAGGTAATTGGAAAGGGAAAAGAAAGATAAAGATACCAACCAAGGAGAAAATTATAATCGTGTCATTTCTTACGTCTAATTATAACAAAGGGAGATTCTTATCAAGGTACAGTTGAATGCGTGTCCCTTGGCCACAATTAATTAAGTACTGGGACAAGAGAGACACACTCGAAAACAAATTTGACTTGATTGATTCACTTCACCCTCCAAAGAATCCAACTACAGCTATGTTAATTCATGTGATCACCTTTTCTAATTGGGCTACTACCATGGATTATTTACTATAACATGTCATATATATTCTACAATCTATCATTTTCCTATTTTTCATTCAAAAAAATTGTTCATACTGACCCTGCCCATACATCATGCACACCACTTTCTTTCCTTTTTATTGTACCTATCTTAGGAAAACAATATAGCAATTGCTCTTTTTTATTTTCTTCATAACTTCCACTTTCATTAATTTGAGACTTAAATTATTTTAGTCTTTTCTTCTTTTTAAAAATCAAAAGGCCAAATTATATTTAATTCATGAAATAAATGTATTTTAGGTTCATTTATCTACTATTAAAAAAAAGCTACAATGAATTACTTATTTATTAGTTCCCATTATAAATAAACACTTAGTCATTGCGACTAAGCCTAATAAATATAGTCAAGTATGCACTATGGTTTGCTGTAAAAAAAATTTAATAAAAATTAATAATTAAAATATATACAATAAATTGTGTTGGATGAAAAGTGAGTTTGAGTTGATTAATTTATTATATCATTTAATAAATAGTTTAATAATGTGATTTGCAAAAATTAGTTCAAAGTACTCAATACAATAGTATAAAATAAAAAGAGAAGTTTGTTTAAAAATATATATTTTTTAATTATAATATCTACGATTTTACTTATGATAGAAAGAAAAAAATTGTTTTACTTTATAGGCATCGTTAAAATCCACTCGTAAAAAACTTAAAAGGAAAACAAATTAGAATTTTGATCTATTAAATTACCTCAATGATTCAATGCATGAGTTGACGTATGGTTGCTCCAAGAGAAATAGTATGTGTGAAAATATGCACATGCCTATGCCCATGAACGTACTCCCTTAACTTTTATATATTGGTGCATCTATACGCGCGTGTGTTTTTTATTTCTCTCTCTTTATTAGGAATTAAGAGGAAGAAAATCTAGATTGGAAATTATTTGTAACCGATGTGTTCGTTATTGGAAAAAAGATAGATTACATGATTATAAATAAGAATAAAGCAGTATATGTAAACAGCATAAGTCAAGTTTAATGGATAGAATTAACTTCAAATTCACTAGATTAAGATAGTATCAAAATTTACTATACATTCATTGACAAATTACCCATCTTTTATTAAAAAAAAAACTATCTATCTTATTATTCACACGTAAAGTCTAATATATAGTATTGTATGTGAAAGGTGTATTGAAAAAAAAAAAACTAAAGAACCCGTATTTTTTATATAAAAATGAAAGATTGTTTAATGAATGAAATATATGCATATATAATAAATGTTGACTACAGTTACATTGTTTAATTTCTAAAACATTCCTGTGATTTCAAAAAGTTATGTTCCTGTTAATTAAGTTACGTGCACCAACATTATGAACTTGGTTGTTCGAAAAATAATAGAAAAACGACAACCATATTTTGACAACATCCATTTAAAGCAACAATCAAATCACTGTAATAGCACAAAAAAGAAAAACAACGACTGGAAGAGAAATATATCTAGTTGTTTCAATTCAAAATAAGAAAAGAGACAAGTAATTTCATGTTCTCATAGTAATCGAACTTCAATAGGAAAAAAAAAGTAGTATCTTTGAAATAATGAAATTAATGTTTTAGTGTGGTGAGTTTTTTTATTTTTCGCAATTTTAAGACATAACACATTCGATGAAATAATTCAATTTCAAAACCCGTTATATATATTTTTAAAACTGGGAAAAATTATTTGTAAATCTGATCTTTAGTTTTATGATATATTTCCTAATTATCATTTTAATTGTCATCATCAATATTATACAAATATGATCTTAAACTAATTTTAACATAATATAAAAATTTTAAATTATTTTATTTTGAATTAAAGACAAAAAATCATCTTAAACTAATATAAATTTTGAAAATTTGTTATAGTTTTAAAAACTTTTGAAACTTTCCACTAAAATCATTCACATCATGTCTAAGTTAAGGTGATGAATATGGTGAAGGCCAAGGTGACAAGTTTTCAAATTTGATTTTTCAGTCGGCGGTATTTAATATTAGAAATTTTGTAATAATTTATTGTGGGTTAAAATATTGTAGCTTCTGATGGATGAAAATATGACTAATATCATGATTCATTACATGGTGATATATAGTAATGATGAGTTTGGATGTCTAATATTCCATAGAGACGTTTAGTAAAGTAATATGACTTGTTAAGAGAAGGGGATCACGTGATGATTTTCATTTTCATTCTCATTCTCAGGTGATTCCCTAATGATGAAGGGGTCGGTGGTGATCATGGCCTCAACATAAAAACTGATATAATTTGATAAAATATCAGAAAATTTGTTATATTTAAATGGTAGAAGGTGTTGGGTTTGGTGCTATATATGGTGCAAATATCTTGTATGTGGGGTGTTGCTGGCTTAGAAACTGTGCATGGTGTATAGGTGAGACATGTGGTGTGTCGAATAGTGTGAGTTGATGGGTTTTGTTTGCACAGCTTAATGGTTATGAGGCCTTTGAAGCTGTTCTTGAGGTGTATTAGGCTGGAACCTGTGTTCTGGACAGATACACAACAGTGGGCATTATATAAGCTGTGCAATGAATGTCCTTACAATTGTTTGTTGAATTTGTGAAAAATTGTGGCTCATATGATCTGTGATAATGCTGTGAACAGAGGAAAAGATCACGGGTGCCTTTTATCAGGTGTTATGGGGCTATCATTCTGTCAGTTGGTTGCCATAACATGGCCAGAATTTGGTGTCCATGCCCATTTTCAATCAATTATCTGTTCCAACCTATTTCCTTTAAATCTATGCTGCCAATTTCTCACCCTCTATCTTTTCACTTCCACTGCCTCTTCTACATTCAACAACTTATATATTCATACATTTTTTAAGTAATCTACAATATATATTAACTGAAAAAGTAAAAATTATTATTAAAAACATTAAACAAACATGCTAATCTCCTATGTTTGTGTGTGAAACAATTATGTCTCCTATGTTTTTTTTCTCATGCATTTCTGTTTTTTTAAGGAATAATCTCCTATGTTTGTGTTTTGAAACAATTAAACTCAATTTTTCCGACATACACTCGTGTTTAAAACAACTTCATATCAATTCACAAACTCATAGTTACGTTTTATGTTAAATAAAAAATAAAAAAATATCTTTATATATATATATATAAAATATCTCTTAATTTATATGTACTAACCCTAATAGTTAATAGTTTTAAATCTGAAGTAGTAATACATAACTATATTAAAAGCAATACTTTACCAACCTAGTACTCACCTCTTCATTATGACTTTACTTTTCTCTCTCTCTTTTTCTTTTCTTTTTTTCTCTTTTCTCTGCTTCCCATTTACTTCTTATGCAAAGCAACTTAGGTTTGGGGTAAACCTTAAGTAGCATATCTTGTTTGGATTGGCACCGAGGATTAGTGAAAGAAGATAAAAACATCATGTGGGCTGGGGATATTGATTTGAACAGTGTCAGAGTTTATAGAAAAAGTTAGCGGGTCAAAATAATTAAGTTTATAATATATAAAATTAACCAGATGTTTGTTTATAGTATTGACTTCTATTCAGGTGAATTGTTTTTTTTTTCTTTTTCATTCTATATGAATTTATGTTCTATATATTCTTTGGTTTATGTTTTTATAATATCCATCATTGATGATAGTGAAGATATATATATGTGAACTTAATATGATTAAAAATGATTAGCTTGTCTTAGTTGAATTGGTCTTTTGAGACTTTATCTTAACATAAGATTGATATTGAGTAAATATCTAAGTTGGGTGAAGGTGGAGGTAAAAAGATGAAAGTAGGATGATGAGTTATGTAGATGATAGAGAGAAGTGGTACAGAAGGAAGGGGGGGTCCACTGGGAAGATAATGGAAAGTGGAGAGGAGAAGGGTGAAATTGTGTGGAGTAATCTAAAAGTGCATCATTGTTTGGTGGTGTGTGCAATGCTGTATCTGGCCACACACCATGCATGGAAATTCATAAATATTTCAACAACATCTTCTTTCTTTTTCACACACCCAACCATAACTTTCTCCCACTAATTTTCCAGCTACAACAAATTAAGCACTAATAACAACTCAATTAACACTCACATCAAATCAACCCTTGTTGCATTCAACTATGCATAGGATTAGAAACCAAATCCACAGAGGAGAAGGACACTCCATTCTTACGTCATTTCAAAAATCCTGTTCCATTCCACTGACCACTTCATACGATTAGACTCTCAAACCACAAAACACTCCATCTAATCTTGCACTAGTCCATGTCTAGCCTCCAAATCTCATCCATTCAACCACCTTTTCCAAAAGTCTAATCTTAATTTCAAAATTATCCCATTATTCTGTTGATGCATGCATGATTCACAAGTGAAGCCTTGCATTTTGCATAAAACTCTTTTTTTTTTTTCAAATTTCATTTTATTTAAACATTATTAAAAAATCATTCATGTATCTGTATATTCCATTCCACCTGTAGGAAGAGGGGTCAAAATATTTTCTTATCTTTATAATTATATAATATCTAACTTCTTACCATAATATGTGCTGTTTTTGCATATAAATGAACCTGATTTTTTTTTTCAAACTCTATAATAAAAATTTCTATCAGTGTTTTTCTTTTTTTTTATTCCAAATGTAAAAGTTTAATAATTCATAATTTTTTTAAACATATAATTATCCTTATAAAAATGTTACGTGTAATATTCGTTTATTCCAGTATTGTTCAATAGTTTGAATATCTCCCTCCAATTTGTAAATTATTTATTATTTTCAAATTTACTGAGATAGTAAATAAATAAAATAAAAGAGGTACGTAATATTTTTAAAACTTCATACAACAAAACTACGCCAGATACTGAGATTAACAAATAATAATAACAAATTTGTAATATGATCCAATTTCTATTATAATAAAAATACTGAAAGAAAAAATCAACCTTAAAGAGTGATAAAGTGAAAATAATTAATATAAAAAAATATTTTTTTATTATTATGTAATAAAGAAAGTGATAAAAAATATAATTTTTTTATGATTACCTATGTGTTTTACTTTTTTATTTATATATAAATAAAATAACATAAAAAATGTAAAAAAATATTTTATAGAATTATCATATCTTCAAGAATAACAGTTAGTATATTTATTTATAATTTATATACAAAAATTAATTATGTTATACTTAGTAAAGTGTGATAAATATAAAATTTATATATATATATATATAAATTTAATATATTATTTTATTAATTTAAATAAAAAAAATATGTTTAATTAGATAAATAGTATGTTGTATATAATTTAAAAAAAATCTTAATTAGTTAAACTTTTATTTGATTTATAACCCACCTTAAAACCATATTAACCGATGATTTAAATAGTTGAGTAAGTTGTACATTAATGGTTAAACATAAGGCTCATAAGTCATATATGACATAATGATATATTAGGTACTTATTACTTGTCACATCAAAAATTGTCCTTGCATTCATTAGAAACAAGAAGCATGTAAAAATAAACCCACTAGTTTAGGAATTTAAGTTTTACTCTATAATGAAAATAAATTTGATCTACGTTAAATTATTTGATCATGGTTGTACATCATTCAAAATCATTAAAGTTACATTTGAAAATTTTAATTGATAATTATATAGAAATCAAAATCTAACATGTATTAATTTATTGATGGAGATTATTGTGAAGAAATGAGTGGTAGAATTACTACTTGTTGAAATATGTTTGATGGCGACTGATTGCGACAGAATTTTGTTGAATACTTTTTTCATGAAATCCACAAATATTTCTGATTTCATGACTTAGTTGAAGCAACTGAGCGAAATGGATAATGATAAAGTTACAATAACATAAAAATAATTGTGAAAATGAAGAGTATCATAGTATATATTTAAATCATATTAAATAATATAAGATAAGATATAAGTTAAGTGATATGTACTTTTAAATATCGTTTTCTCTAACGAAGTTTATCATATTAGGTATTTTTACTTAATTAATGGGTAATTTTTGATCTTTTTGACTTAACTAATGGTAACTTTTGACCTAAAATAATAAAGATTTTGACTCTAATATCATGTTAAAGTTCTAACATAAAATTAATTGAGAATATATGAAATAACCTAACATATATTTAAATCATCATAAATAATATAAAGTAGGATGTGTAACTTTCTACATATAAAATATCATTTTGAATGATAAAACATGTGATTACAAGTTATTCCGTGTATATTAGTATATATTAAATGGTTTAAAAATTAATTAATTTTTTTAAATTGATAAAATGTAAAAAACAATAAAAATTATTTTATTTTTATTTTTTATCTAAAATTTTAAAATTAATAATTTGATTTAGTGTTTAGTTTGACAATTAAAAATTAATCAAAATCAACATAAAATTATAATATATATGGTTAAAATTAAAATATTAAATAATATTTATTTTGAGTAATTAATTGTTTTTTATAATTTATGATTTATAGTATTATTATAATTTAAATTTAATATAAAAATAAACTAAAATTATTTTATAATAATATATTTAATAATTTTATAATAATAATTATAAAATATTAGTTTAATTTGATTTAATTTTTTTAACTAAAAGTAAATTAAATCAAATTGAATCATATCTAAATTTATTTTTATTTAAATATATTTTTAATATAAAATCAAATAAAACGATATATTACTTTTATTTATAAGATATGAGTTTTTAATTTTTGATGTCTGATACAATAAGATTATTATTTATTTTATTTTTTATCATTATAATGATATATTTTTTAAAAAGTAAGTTTATAAAATAATAGAATAATTATTTTTTTTATCTTATACTAATTTATATTTATTATAATAATAAAAATTATTATACTTATTATTATTTATTATTTTTATAATTATTATAAATTATTATAATTAATATTAATTTTATATATAATATTTATTATTATTATGTTCTCGTCATGTTATAATTTTATTTTATTTTTAAATATCTTTATTATTATTTATATAAATATCATTATCATAACATAATTACTATATATCTGTTAGTTGAAATATTAGGTTTATTATAAAAGTTACTAATACAATTTTTACCACTTGTTTAGTTATGATAATTAATATCATTTTTATTATTCTTATTATTATAGTTATAGTTATTATTATTATAATCCTCATTGCTCTTTATTATCAGTATTATGTTGTAACATTTATGATCATACTTCTTCTATTAATCTGATCATATTTAAGTTTTGTCATATTGCATAATTAATTTTATATTTTTATTCTATAATGTAGTTTGAGGTGAATTTCATAATATATACTACCATGTTTATAGGCTATGATTCTTGTTTTTGTTTAATAGGGACCTCATAATATGTGAAATTATATTCCCCTCTTCTTCCTTGTTTAATAGTGAACCCTCAATATTTATGATTTCTTGATTTAGGCCTTACTATCGAAATGTTTGTATTCATAGGAAACAGAAACATATGATGGTTAGAGGAGATAACATTACAATAATATTTTTATAATTTTTATATTTAAATTATATTATATCTTAATTTATCTTCATCATATATACGGTATTTAAATTATATTATATCTTAATTTTTATATAAAATATTTAACTTTTATTAATATGATCTTGAAGAGAATCAAAAGTATATATTTTTGTTAGAAATGAAATTGAAAATAATCAATTGTTTGGTTAATCTCTGTAATAATTTTTATATTGAATAAAAGATGGTATTATCATTACATCTAGGATTTTTTTTCTGAATTCTTTTCTCGTTCAAATATGCATGTTATTTTATATATTTATTTCATTTTGCAAAGATAATAATAATATTATCAGTAATAAAAAATATTTAATAATAATTATTATAACCATGCATTTAAACATAAGAAAAATGTTGAAGCATAATTATAATTAAAAAGTACTCTCTATTAGAAAGTGATGAACAAATACTAAATATATGTTATTTTAAGAAAAAATAAATATGATCACATTTTAAGCTATATGTCATCTCACAAGTGTGTAATATATACATGTCCCCTAAAAATGTAATTCCAAAAAATATATAGTTATTTTGTGAAATTAACTATTAAGTTGAAAACTTAAGGATGAACCTATTTGAAATTAGACTTAGTAGTTTGTTTTAGTAGTCGCAAGTGTGTTTTGTTTTATCTTCTTAATAATTTCCTTAAAATGAAAGTATATATATTTTTTAATAATTATTTTTAATTTATT